TAGATATTGATGCTTTTGACCCGTTTCTTTCCAATTGTTTTACCCCGGGCCTCGTACGATGATTCCGACTATTTCATATATAGTTTATTGCATTCGGGTTTGCTTCCAAATTTTACGTTTTGATCACATAAATACGTATAAAGGGGATAATTGCAACGTATTTGCGAAAGTGTATGTTACACAGACCAGTCAGCTCAGAGTTCCATGCCTATTTTATAGCATAGTTTGTTAAACCTAGGCGTATATAAGGAGGCTTCCTCCTCAGGTTTAAAGTACCTGAAGGAACCAACTTACACTATACGCAATTTCTGTGAGATTATTTTTGTGCTTCAAATTGTTCATCTTTTATCAATAAAAGCATTCGGTATATTCAAAGTTTATTCACTGCTTTATTTTCATCTTTGAATATTCTGTTTAATCATTTGAAATACATTGTTTGTTCATAATTCAAATTACATAAACTGTGTTTCTGTTAATTAAGAGTATCTGGTTGCAACAGATTCAAATTTTAGAATTCAACATCACCTCTAATAAATTAGAATTGAATTAAGATTTCAGACTTACCTCTTAAAAAACAAAAACTCTTTCACATACTTTCTAGCATATATGTTTCAAGTTGTCTATCTTGAGTTACAAATGCAACACCTTTGAAGTCTTCTTTAAGTTAAAAAAAATCATGAACTTGAGTGCAAATTGTGAAACACACGTTTAATAAAAAGCTTATTATTGGTAATTACATGAGCTTACCTGTGATTTTATTCAAGAAAGTGATTTTATTTTTATTGCTAGTGAGCCATTTGGTATTAATCTTCACATTAATACTTATTTGGAATATATGAAGGTACTGAGGTTTATACTCTATATTAAAGAGTATAGTGGATTTGCGTCTCGTAAGTGTTTTAAAGGATAGGAGTAGGCAAGTGGGTGAATCAACATTCACGACCAGAGACCGACTTATAAATTTTTTCCAGTGGTGGTGTTATTTGACGATAAAAAATAAAGATGTTAATATTTTTACAAAATAATCTTTGGTTTATTGGTTAGTTCTTTGTTTTTCATATGCGAGATCGTATGTTCAAATTTTTTATTGCAAAATATTTAGAAAATATAATAAATCTGAAATTGAAAAACTAAAAACCACGAAAAATGAGAGAAAAATCATGCAACCCAACCCTATCAAAGAAAACTTGTATCACCATGCATTATAATTTTAATATACATATGGTTGCACAAAATAAAATGATACAGTAACACTTTTCACCACCCTATAATTTTTTACGAAACAACAAAGGAACGAAAAAACGGTCCATACCACCATCTTGCTTTGAATCTTGCATTCGAATTTGAAATTTGCTTCAAAATTTAACATCCCGTCGAACGTTATATTCACCCCTCTAAGTTGATTAACAAGTGGTCTGAAAATGAGTTCTGGTAGCTATTTAACTATGCATATTTGGTAAACATTTTGTGTTTGAATTATGGCCCAACGTCAAGGTTTATTTAAAGAAAGTTCATTTTGTTTTCGGTGTCCACTACTTGAAACTGGAAAATTCATCTTTTGGACAAAACGTTTTGATTGTCATGTTTAAAAATAGAAATTTATCGGACATAATAAAAAATGGAAATATATATATATATATATATATAATACATAGGGACCTAATCAAATGAGAAAAGACAATTTGTGATAACCGTGAGATGCAACCTCAACCAATCATTTAAGATTATAAGGTAGGATAGATAATCAATGTTTATGAAGTCTTCAACGAATCCAGATCTCCGTCTCCATCGAAATTAGATCTAAAAAAACCATATCGCTATCTCCGTCGAATTCAGATCTGAAAAATATTGTATGTATGAGGATGCGGTTCGATTAAATTTAGATATTGTTGGTCCCAGCCGGGTCTACATGAGTTAAGAGGCGAACAGTTTGTAAAACGGGGGGAGGGGGATGAATACAAACACATAAAACTTTCACTTTTATAAATATATATTGATATAGAAGGATCAATACATATTTTTACAAATTATTTGCGGAAATAGAAAAGGTAAAGATAACCTATCTAACACAATCTAGGATTACACACAAATATACTTAGCAAATATAAGAAATTTGCCGAATAAGATAAAGACAGAAAGATGTTCTTCTTGGGTATAAACTTTTGAATTAGGGAGAAATTCTAACTTGCTTCAAGATAAGAGTATGTGTACTTTTGTGTGTTGTAGATGTAGTGCATAAGAAGAGCACTAAGCTATTTATACCCATTGCATTAAATGCAATTCAGAAGGGTTAGAATACTCATCAAGCTTTTAGAGGAAAGGTTGTATTTTCCAACAGTAAATAGTACTATTTTCTATTCATGAGCAAATATCCTTTCATGGACTTAGTGGGCGCTAGAGTCGACTAGTCGGCTCCGTGCAGTACTATACTTTTGAAAGGGTATGGGTTTGTCCTTTGTGTTTGAAAGGACAAGAGAAAAACATTCGTGCATGACAAGCTTCATTTGATCGCTGAATGCTGGAATAACGCTGGAGGTCTCTTCAGCATTCACTAAGGCTTGTGCAGTCTTCACACGTATGTTGACTAGGTTGTAATCACTGAATACCGCTTCAGATCACGAACACGCTAGTCACTAATCTTCAGTTTCAGTCTTCGAAATTTACTTAAGGTTTTTGGGTGTGAGTTTTATCTTCTTGACAAAAAAATCATGCAACCCAACCCTATCAAAGAAAACTTGTATCACCATTCATTATAATTTTAATATACATATGGTTGCACAAAATAAAATGATACAGTAACACTTTTCACCACCCAATAATTTTTTACGAAACAACAAAGGAACGAAAAAACGGTCCATACCACCATCTTGCTTTGAATCTTGCATTCGAATTTGAAATTCGCTTCAAAATTTAACATCCCGTCGAACGTTATATTCACCCCTCTAAGTTGATTAACAAGTGGTCTGAAAATGAGTTCTGGTAACTGTTTAACTATGCATATTTGGTAAACATTTTGAGTTTGAAACATAGCCCAACGTCAAGGTTTATTTAAAGAAAGTTCATTTTGTTTTCGGTGTCCACTACTTGAAACTGGAAAATTCATCTTTTGGACAAAACGTTTTGATTGTCATGTTTAAAAATAGAAATTTATCGGACATAATAAAAAATGGAAATATATATATAATATATATATATATATATAAAATACATAGGGAC